TTTTATCAGTCTTCTGCCACTCTTTGCTTCTATAGTTTACTGTTTTTTGGAAAAAAGGTTTGTTGTAATTTTGGTATGAGGGATCGTCAGAAAGAGTTGATGATGTTGTGGCAATTTTTCTTATATAAAATTGCATAATTTGCTCACTTTTATGCAAAATTTGATTGGTTAAATAATTAAACATTGTGACTGTAATCACCTAACTTGTTGTGTTTTTTTTTTGAATTTTATTGGTTAATATCTCAAAAATTGTATAATTTGTATAATTCCTAATTTACCAAATGCATAATTTGGCATTTATCAGAGCATAATCCTGAATACTAATACCAATACTAGAGGCTTTGTTCTAGTATTTCGATTTAGATTAAAAAACTCAGTTTGATTCAGGATTGAACTAAACCTGAAATTTCAGTTTGAATCTGAAACCAATCTGAAGTATTTAATAGTTAAATATTTTAACATGGTCAGCTTGGAATTTATATATTAGTGTAATGTGAAAGAAAAAAACTAGACCCAAATCTCAAAATTAGACTTAATCCGGGCAATCCAAAACTTTTAGCCAAATCTGATCTTATAGTTTGAATTAGATAATAATCTGAATCTGCTAGATCTGGATTATTCGGAACACTACTTTGTCTACCAGTCCACCTATATAATCAATAATCTACACATTCTAGAGGCCTTAGCAGATTTAGTATATCTGTTTTCCCATATAATCAATCATAACACTTTTTTATAATTTGCTCCAAATTTACACTAGCTTCTGTTTTTCTAGTCTACACATACTAGAAGCTTTAGCAGATTTTGTCTGTCTGTCCATCTATGTGACCAATCATGGCACTTTTTTATAATTCGATTCAGATTTACAATAGCTTCTGTTTTCTGATAATATTGATTGATACCTGAAAGAAAAGAAAGCTAGAATAATCAAAAAAAATATGATTTTACGAATATTCAAGAACAAGCATATTTAACATAATAAACTTTGAATTATACACAAATCGATAATAATATTAATTGATGCCTAAAAAGAAGCAAAATTAGTTAAACATGTTTCAAGCTAAAATAACAAAATATCAAATAATATGCATATTCAATAATTTAAATTAATACAAACAAATCTAACAAAATCCAGACAACCTATTAGTAGAGATATGTTATATTTAGCAAGCGGATAGTTTAAAGTTTTAGTCATTAATAACTCTTATCATAAACAATAATTATAGTTATCTATAGTAGGACACAATAACTAATAACCATAGCAATCTTAGCATGTCAAGAAATAGCTAGACAGAATAATATTGATATTATGTAATTATGGGGTATAAATGAATAATTGTTCTGCTATGCCACTTTAGTAGTAAATCACTTAGTTTATTAGTAAATGTGGGAGTAAGAAGTAATTATTTATAAATTACGAGCTATTTTAGTTAGAATTATAAACAATAGTATTTTCTAAAGGCTATGATAGAGATGTTAAATAATGTATCTGGTTCAATCTCAGCCTGGTCTCTAAAAAATCTAATCCTCAACTAGTTAAAGACAAGTTCATCCTGTTAAAAAATTAGTTAAAATCTGTTCTACTTTAGCAGTTTAAAGTATAAAACAATAGTAAACGAGTATTGTGTTTTAATTGTAATTATATGGATTATATTAAATTTGTTTTAGTATTATAATTACATTTGAATCAATATAAGTTAGTCCTGTATTCAATTAGACAATATTATCATCACAGGTGGTGTGCATTTAGCCAACAATTATTTAACTAACAGTTTAGCACTAGTAAAAAAATCAAAAATTTAATATGTTGAATGGCACTATTTGAATACTATTTGACATGCCACTATTCAACTTATCATATGACTTCACAGACATTCATGTCCACAAAGTTATGTGATAATATATATAATGCATTGAATAGTATATCGAATAGCATTCAAATAATGCTATTTAATATATCAAATTCAACCTATTATATGACTTCATGAACATTCATGTCTATGAAGTTATGTGATAATACATATAATATATCGAATAGCATGTCGAATAGTATTCGAATAGTGCCATTCAATATATCAAATTTTTGATTTTTTACCAGTATAGTTTACTGACAATTACAGTAGTTTGTGGCAAGTTCATTTTACTGACAATTATTTTACTAACAGCTCATTTCAATGACAAAATAATTTTAGTTATTGTTGTTAGTATTAGATTAAAATTATTGTAATTTATAAAAAACACCTGTTGGTAAAATAAGATATTATTAAAATAATTATTAGTAAAATAAACTTGTTAGTAAGTTAATTTTTGGTTAAATAAACTTGTCTGCGAATTAATTGTTGATAAACTAAGCTGTCAGTAAAGTAATTGTTTATGAAATAACATATTACAAGATTATAAAACTAGTTTTTGAACCAGTTCTGAACTAAGACCACTAAGACCTATAAAGTCTGGCCTGAACTTGATCTGAACCCATTCTTCATAGGCCACTTAACATCCTTAGGCTATGGTCAGTGTTAGGCAAATTAGTGGTCAACCAAAAATTTACTAGTCAAATTGGTCTGGTCAAATTGGTCAAATGGTCGAACTAGTCAGATTGGTCAAATTTATTTTATAAATATAATATATATATATATATTATATAATAAAAATTATATTTAAATATACTATTTGACTAATTTGACCAGCACAGATTCTTTGACCAGATCAGTCAAATTGGTCAAATTGGTCAGGTCCAATGGTTAAATTGGTCTGATCAAGCCAACACTAGCTGTGGTATATCTATTCTGCTATTGATACTTGTTACAGTACCTTTCTTATATATCATAAATTATACATATTATTGATATAACTGATAATTCATATATATATGTTATAAAGCTAGCATTTTGATCCAGGTGAGTGGGTGATCCAGATTGAGGCAGATGTCTACTATTAAGGAGTTCAGAATGAAGACAGTTAGCAAATATAAAATATAAGCAAAGTGTTATAGTAATAATTAATATAGAGTTCTTATCTATTATCTATTTATCTATTTATCTATTGGATATTCAGATCTAAATTTATTTGAATATCTGGTTTACTATAATATCCAGATAATTATCAGAATATTTGTCAAATTATCCAGATATTAATAGTAAATAGATATCTGTAGAAGTCCAATCTAGATAAATCCATCATCTATTTATCTATATCTGAATTTATCCAGATATCTATTTACTATTGGTATCCGAATAATCTGACAAATATTCTAATAATTATCTGGATATCAATAGTAAAACAGATATCTGAATAAAATCAGATCTGGATATCTAATAGATAAATAGATAAATGAATAATGGATAGGAACTCTAGATATCCGAATAAATTCAAATATGGAAAAATAGATTACAGATTTATTCAAATTGGACCTCTAAATTAATACTGTAAGTTTTTATTATCATAGTGAAGTGTAGCGTTAATTAAACATGGCGAAGGCCCTTAATAATGTTACATAGTTCTCGCCAAAATACCAGACGAATAACCGCGTGCTTGCATGTGGGTGTTCATCGCGGTCATTTTGGTAACTTAGAAAAGCCAGAACGGAACGGAACAAACTGGAATGATCGACAACCTCGAAATTCTATCTATATAATGGTGGTTTTTGATCAGTTTTAATTTGGACCAAAAGATTGACATTCGGCCCTGTATCTTTGGAAAAACTTGTTTTTTTTACTATGTTTATTCAATGGTGGTTTTTCGATTTTTTAATGCCGGAAAAACACTTATTATTTAGGCTAAAAGATCGACATTCGGCCCTGTAATTTTTTTATGCTGATCATGTGGTGGTTTTTGAAAACCACCAAACGATCGATATTCCGGTTTTTTCCGATTTTGAATTTCAAAAAAAAAAGTCACTGTGCAGACTAATTTCTGTTAGACAAAATTCTCTTAGTGTTTGATCTCTTAGTGTAATCATATCTTGGGATATAAAAATATGAGAATACGAAAACTTAAGTTGAACGGATATTGGCTTAGTAGCTAAGCTAAATTTAATTAGGTAAGAAAATTGGAATTTATAGAATTTCAGTTTCTGAGACGATTATGATTATTAAGCTCGCTGTAAATTTTAGTAAAGCTAGAGAATTAAATAAGATTAGTATGAAATGGATTAAGAAATTATATGGAGATAGAACATTTTCTATAAATAGGATTAATTTGCCCATATTAAATATAAAATAAATAAATTCCACAAAATGACTTTGTTGAACAATTTTAAATTTTATGCTTATCAGTAAGTATTCAAAAAAAATAAACAAAATAAAGTATATCTATTTATTTTTTATTATAATTTTTAGCTCAGATATGTCTATTGCTGGGTCGGTTCATCTTGAAAAAACAAATAAAAGTACAGGTCCAACTATTATTTTTGAAGACGAAAATATTCAATCATTTGAGGGTTTAGATTTTAGAATTAAGCTAATGACTATTCCTGGTTATAGAAATTCTGCACGCTTATTGATTTTAAGTCTTGAGAATGATGAAAAAGATATTCCAGTTCCTGATGGAATTCGAGTAGTTGATGTTACAGATTTCACCAATCCTCGAGATCTTTCTACATTTCCGGGAACGAATGTTTTTTTGATTGAACATCTTTACAAATATCAAATATTTTATAATCATCAAAGCATTTATCAAATTTATTCTAAAAAGAAATTTACTATTCATAATGATCGTAAAATATTAAATTAAAATTTTTATTCATTTTTATTTATTAAAACCAAATTGACAAGAAAGTAAAAAGAAAAATAAGATAAAAATTATAAACAAAAAAATTTTTTGTAAATTTTGTCTTTCTTGTCTTGCTTGTTGTCTTTCTTCTTTAGCATATTGTCTTTCTTCTTTAATATATTGTCTTTCTACTTCAATTTGACTTTCTAATTTTTCTATTTGATTTTTTAATCCTTCATTTTCTTTTTGTAAATATTCTTTTTCTTTTAATATTAATCTTATTTCGTTTTGAGACAGTTTTTGGCTTTTGTTCAAGAAAGTAAATATTTAGAAATTATAAATAAAATATGAATAAAATTTTACTTACATAATTATTAAAAAAATTGCACGTTGAGTTACAATTAAAAAAAACATTTTTAAACAGTTTACGAATTTATATTTTAAAATATGCTTTAAATATATTTCATATTATAGATAAAAATAGGAAAGATTATTTATTAATTTGGAAATTAAATTATTTACAAAAAGAATAATTACAAATATATACAGATTTACAATAAAATAAAAAAGTGAATCAGATTCAAATTCTTGTAGAAAAGATTCACGAGGGTGCGATCTGATTGGTCAGAACTGATTTTTTTTTTGACAAAAATTGAACGTATTCACAGGATAATTGACAAAATCAAATATTTATTAAAATTTATTTAAAAAAAACTTTACATTTTCCTTTAAGAATAATTTGATTGCTAACAGTAGATATCAAGTTTATTACAATAATCAATGTATTTATCGTATCTATTCTGAAAAAAAATTTGTTATTCATAATGATCGTAAACCTTTGCAATATTTTTAATAACCCTTAAATATTAAATCTCAATTAAAATAAGATAAATTTTATAATTGTTAAGCACCTACTCAATTAATTTTAAATATCCCTTGTGTGGAAATATTTTCAGCAAAATAAATACTTGATAAATTGTCATTATAAAGAATTAACCAAAGTAATACAGAATAATTAATTTTATTAAATAAGTTATTATATGCTCTTGAGTTTCAATGTCAATAAATTTAAATATAAATAATTATTCTTGCTTTATACGTAATTTTCCAATCTCATCAGCTAATAATACGGATTCATTTTTTAGAAATCTATAAATAAGAATTTTTTGCAAAATTCATTTGATAAATTTTAACACCTTTATATTTGATTATATAAATATGATTAAAATGAATTAAGAAGTCGTTTGTGTTTGGCCATAGGTTACATTTTTCGATTTGATCAGAAAAATCTTCGATAGTAATATTTTCAGGTATTACAGTATCAACATTGCTACTATCAGGATCCGTTAATTTTAAAAAGAAAAGTCTTGCGGCATTTTTCTTGTTTCTTAGCACAACGGTTTTAATCTTGAATCCAAGTTGGTCAAAATTTTGTATTGGAAGAGTTCGCTTGGTAGATTTAATTGGAGGCATTTTAGTTTATATAGGAATAAACATACG